GGTGCGCGCGCGTGTGTGTGTGTGTGTGTGTGTGTGTGTGTGTGTGTGTTTGTGTGTGTGTGTGTGTGTGCATGCGATCAATGTAAGTGCGTGCGTTGTGGGTTTCTATGTTCCTAGACACACGCGCACTTACATTGGTCTGACTGCGTGTGAATATATCTGTATTTTCGTGAAGTACCGTTCTTTGCTCCCGACTATAGTCTAGTTGCATTTCGAAGGACGCATAGCGGGCGAAATTTTCCATGACACGTCGGGTGTACTTGAGATCATAATTCATCACACGCAGGAGAGTCGTGAAGGACACCTTTCTCGCAAAACCCTCAGTGACTTTAGATTGAAGTTTATCTAGATAGAGCGCGGGATTCTGTGAGTAGAATTCTTACACTATATTGGTCAATCGTAGATATCTTAATTTGTCTGATCGTAACGTGAAATATTAGTCGTATATCTTCCCAGTCGATACTACAGTAGTAACGAGCTATAGCTACAAGCCATGAAACTTCAGTTAATATCGTTATGTGTGTTTGTGTGTTGTTGTTTCGAAAAATTGTCAATGTTCAAATATTGATTGTCGAATATTTATTTGAGACTGATTTTTAAGAGCCAAGCTTTAGTTTTTAGGGTTTAGGGTATAGCTAAATACTAAGCCCTAACCCCCCGGTTTATGGCTTTGTATTCACCAATCACACGGCGCCATCGATTTTCCTTTGCCAACAATTGTTCATCGTCCGTGGTGTGGTGAGAATATCAAATCAAACTGGAAGCATTGAATTATGGAATCTAAAAATAAATTGATCCAATAAAATTATAAGCTCGAATTTATATATATAATTGATACAGTACGAAGCGCATTCCGACAACAAATTTTCCAACATGTTGACTTGAGGTTGAGACTTGTTAACGGGCGCTAACCAGGGGGTTTTAGGGTTTTAGGGGTGACTGCCAAAATATCTGGAATCGACAAAAAGTCTGAATAAGTGAACTCAGTCAGACGTGCCTTTTTGATCGGCGCGTCTGTTGTATTTATTAATCACGTTCCTATGTGGAACGAGATTTTCCTTAGCAACGGGTGATTGTAAAAATACCGGTATCGAAGGTTTTGATATCTTTGATACTAACTTATGATGACGTCAGATGACTCATCCTTCTCTCTCATTAAATCCTCTATTCCAATATTTAGTCCGGTTCTGAAATAATCCTCTCAGGTCCGATCCTCTGGTCCGGTCTTGAAATTTCTCTAATAGGTCCGGTTTTCTGGTCTGGTCCTAAATATCCGTCCAGGGTGCTTTGTCTATAGCCCCGCCAATTTGGATTCTGGTCTGTTTATAAACATTTCTACGACAGAGCCTGATCACTAGAAAATTTCAAATAGAATATAAGAAAGTATCCTACACGGATCATGGGTTTACTGCAATGTCGCAAATAAAGTTTTGTTTCATCAAAATTGTCGTAAATATTAAATATTTATTAGTCAAAACCAGCCATCCAACTGAAAACAGGCAAAAGTGTCTGCTAATGTTCTATTTTTGAAATGTCTTAGGCAAAATTATGTATATTTAATTAAAAATAAAATGAATTCATCTAAGATAATAAAATTTAACTTGTTCTAAATCGCACATCATGTGCTTCTCATGACTGTCTATATTTTGTGTTGTAAACAGATTTCATTGAGCTTTTTTATAAAGTCTTGTTCTAGTGTACACATATGAACCTGTCAATGCCTAACTTGGACGTCCGGTATGTCTTTGCAATCGTCGTTATGCCATCCATTAGTACTCTTGCAAGTAGTACTCTCTTTCACATTTGTCCAACGTCTGGATTGCCTGCTACAAGCACAACAGGGTTGTGTCTACCATTTCACTTGTCATTACGCTTAGCGAGGTTGTAACCACACTTTTTGCAAGAAGCTCTCACCTTCTTTTCACCCTTTGGTTTGGATCCGTAGTAGTACTTCTACCGCGTTACGCTTAGCGGGATGGGTAAAGCTCGTGGTCTCGGTTTGGTGTGCTTTCAAACTATCTTCTCAAAGTCAAAGTCAGACTAATGCATGGATCGCAAATCACCATAAGCGATGATGTCGTCATTGACCTTCTTAAATATGTTAGCCCTCAGTGTCTCCATCTGACAAATCAATAAATACTCGACAGTATAGGTGCGACCTCCCATCCGGGTGTTCATATGTGTCATATAAGCTCGAGCGCCTCGAATGGTAATTACGTTCGCAAAGGACTTGCGAGACCCTATATATTCACAGTCACGTGCATCTTCAAAGAAGGCCTTAAGTATACTACCGCACAACTGGTTTCAGGGTAGGGTTTTTCAATTGGGATCATGGGCTTTCAAGATAGCACGGCATTCGTTTATGGATAGAAGCTTTCATCATCAGTTTATTCATAATCTTGGCAGATTCCTTTCGCTCAAAGGCTTTCAGTGTCCCCATTGTACTCTCGTTAGTAGAGAAATCGACCTCAGCGTTCGCGTTACATAGCCGCTTTATAAAACTTGGTTCAAAATGCTCACGTGACGCTCGCTCAGTGCTTCAGGCTGCTTATGCCAACATTGAGTGTCTATCTTCTTTATTTTATTTTCGAATAGATAGCGTATGTTGTTTGCTTGTTAATCATTTAGGTCAGAGTTATTCAATAGACGGTCTTCTGGTACTTGCATACCAGATCGTAGTATCCTAAGACGATCTTATCTTGTTCTCTCTACCTCATCCCCAGAGCTACAGCGGGAACTCTCTAAAGAGGTACTGGTGTAGCGATTGCCAAAATCGTGATTACCAGGGTTAGATGGTAATTGAAGGTCGCTGTTACGAGGTTGGTAAGCCTCATCGAGTTTTATACGATCATAGCCTCTGACAAGGTTAGGTCTATCAAGATGATGGTCGATGGTAGCATCTGAAAGGTACAGATTACATGTTGAGTTCCTACCAACTTCACCAGTGGTAACTGGCTCCGTGATAATCCTGCAGGCTGGTAGACCAGTACACAGGTCCCGAATTCGAAACTCGACTCGGAAAAGTTTAGTAGAGCGCTTCAGTTCTGTTAATATGACGTCGATATTGAGAAGATCCAACCAGCCGTTGACAAGTTATTGCTTCCCCAACATCCGCCCCAATTTAGCACCAACATTTGAAGTTTCCTCACCAACATTTGAAGAAATCACCCCGACATCGATGACAGGACGCTTGAGCAGGTTCTTGACAGTAGCTCGGCGTCGGACTCGTATAGAGTCTGGCTTCAGTGCTGTTAATATGACGTCGAGACCGAGAAGATCCAACCAGCCGTTGACGAGTTCTGGCTTCCCCAACATCCGCCCAAATGTAACACCAACATTTGATGTTTCCCCCCCAACATTTAAAGAAATCACTCCGACATCGATGGCAGGACGCTTGTGCAGGTTCTTGGCAGAGCTTGGCGTCGGATTCGTATAGAGCCCTCAACTCGTTCATATGTTATGGCCTTCCCAACATCGGCCGCAACAAATTTCCCAACATTCTTGAGTCGGTCCCCAACATTCGATTGCTCGTGGTCAAGTGGTAAGCTGGGATCTTGGGCTTCACTCCTGGGCGATACACGGACACTGGCGAGTCTTTCCGTGGCAGCAGAGACATCTTCTTTCAATACTTTAGGCTCCGATGAATCATCCTCATAATTATACTCATAATCAACCTCGGAATTAGCTTCCATCACATTTTCCTCGGCAGCCTCAGTATCAGATGGGCCAGCGCTTTCACAGGGATCACAGGAACCTCAGGAGGCTTAGCAGGCTTGGAGCTTACGGCACCCTTGCCTTCAGAATTTCCTTCAGTCATAGTATTAACTAGATATTAAGAAAAGAAAAAGAAAAGTCTAGGTATAGCTATTATAGTAGCTAAGGTGTAGCTACTCTTATACGGTATTAGTAGCCAATATATGGTATTATAGGATACTTACTGTTCTGCAGCTGGATAATAAACGGTGCCATCAAACAGAAGCGTATCATTCAGCTGTTACATGCATAACGCGGTCAGGATAACCGCGACAATCAGAAATACAAGGACATGATCAGTAAACATACGTCGAACTGGGATACTAACTCCCAGAAGTCCGAGTTCATCAATAACCATGATCTCGAGACACTGTCTCGTTCCCTGAACGCCTTTCCTGTAATGCTAGAGACGAATGACATCGCACTCCAGCAATGGATCTCTGCGCTTATACAATCGTTCAATCCTGAAGGAATCGGTTATCAGATCCTTCAGAAGCACCTCGACGAGCTTGACCGCTGTCATAACTGGCATGAGGTATGCTGATTAGTAGCCTTCCTACTAAGCAAAGGTATGCGCAGCCGAGTTATATGTCCGATCTTGGTACTCCTAGCACCGAGCACTACCATACTGAGCTACATATTAATGCTCGACACGGACTTAAACAGACCTAATATAACCAGGGATGAAAAGCCATGATAGTATGAGTTGCGTGCCAAGCATGTACTTTGCGTGAACATTGGTAGCAACGATCGCGAGAGGCTGTATAGCGAACTTTGTCGCAAGTATGTCAAACGAGTCGATAGTACAGGGTCAAGCGAAAAAGTTCCACTTGATCCGACTACGTTGGGAGCAGTTTTTTTATACTGTATACGACACATATACCTAGGATCAAGTATCCTCGAAAGAGCACGTGGTTGGTAATGAACCATGGGGGAAGTCTGATCAAGGGTACGTGTCCCAACAGACCTCTAACGAGCGTCCATCGGTACGCCCGCGAGAGAACGTTCCCAACATGCGACCCAAAAGAAGGCGCGTGTCGAAAAGGAACCTCCGTACAAAAAAAGTCAAGAAGTATGCGGACGAGAAGTTGTAAATTTCGGCCTCCCAAGGCGGTGTTAACAACTTAGAGTAGTTAAACGCTTTAAAATGGTCTTAAGTTCAATAAATTCAAACTAAAATAAACGGAATGAGTCTTTTAGTAAAGTTAGGTATGCCTCGTGAAACACTCTGGGGGATTGTGCGGCTGAGACATTGCCTATATATAATCCTCTCAGTCCTGAGACTATTACTATGTTTCGTCGGGACAAATTCGAGAGACTCGTGAAATCCTCCTATCTTTAGAAGAAAAGAAAAACAGAAAAAAGAAAAAGAAAAATATTATTGTTGTCGCTGGTTATTGTATTAACCAATAACTATTCACTATCAAGAATTACCGACTAGCCTTCGTCAGATTGGCAATCTGGTTGGCTGAACGGATGATAAACTAAGCAACGCTAATCGTCCCTAGAAACCTGTGTTCGGTTGAGCCATCTCGCTACCGGAGTATTCAGATATAAATAGATTTGGAAGTCTAATATAGTTATATTAATAGAACGAGGCCAAATCATATCTTTGGCATATAATCGAGCCTTTAATGGCCATGTCCAAATATCTGAAATGAAAAATGGAAAAGGTATTTAATTAATTTCACCGTTAAAAAACAATTTAGGAAAACCAAGTTTTACGTACTTTTAAAAGCATGGTTATATACAAGATTCTAACGTGGAGGCCCCTGCTATTACAAAGCGTGGGTACGATATGTACCAATTAACCCCGAACGGTTGATGGAACGGGCGCCACGAACTGACTTATAAGCACTATCTTAGTAAGTGCGACAAGTGCGAGAAGACAAATGACCATCACGCTAAGTCTTCGACAAGAAACCCGACATTAAGTTGGAGTGAAGGTACTAGCGGGTTCAATTCAAACAAAAAAATACAACGACTCCTTAGATGAGCGCGTAGTAATCCCTGTATATTGCAATGAAAATAAAGTCCTTGAATTAATTGATCCTGGTTCAGAAAGTGCATGCTTATCCGATCGCGTTGCTTTAATGAAAATATCGAACGTAGAACACAAACCACTCACCTAATTTTGGTAGATGAGAGGACTTTCAATTGTGAGACCATGATAGAGAAGTTGATGCTACGATGAAATTCATTGTAATGATGATCATTTGAGTCGCCGCTCTACACTAAACTCTGACCAGATCCCGAGATATGAGCCTCACATACAAGCCATCTATACACCTGAATACCAACGCATATATGCGTAACCCCGACGAGTGACAACAAGCCATGACTAATCTCCAATGGGAACTTATCATCGATATATGCGCTAGCAAGTTGACCGCGCGACTCTCTCACCTCTCAGGCCTTGAATGGGTCGATATCCACATACGGACAGGCGAGATGTTGATCTCCTCACCGAGAAAACATATTACAACGCCGAGAGGTCGCATGTGGTCAGAATACTATAGTACGTAGTTTATTTGATTATTTTAGGTCTATTATAAGTTTTCCAATAGAGTCAGAAAAGGTAGATTTTAGAGTGTTGAACAGAGAAATATTTAAGAGAAGATATAAGATAGTAGTGCCTACGGTAGGTAGGGTTAAAAGTTATAACATTACAAACATTATAGACCCACGCCAGATCTAGACAAAAGCAAACTATAGCAATGTTATTTATACCTTTGTAGAAAATATGGGGGTAGGAATAAGGATAAACATACCACCTGCACATAGAGGCTTAGAACGAGTAGATTTACAGTAAGCGAGACGGGCTAACATTCTATTCCAGTCGTTGCAAGAAACTATAGCTCAACACACTCACAGAGAAGTTTTCTACCGAGAGAAGGAGGCCATGGACGAGAACCAAGAACAATACTAAGAAACATCTGCCTTAGGAGACTTCGGGCGACGGGACGTACGAGGGCAATATTAAGTAGAGTCTAGTTGCATAAGAGAGGGATCGGCAGAGCCAGCAAGGCCTATATGGAGCCATCATGGGTTGCTTACCACAATGGCACATGTTGGAACACGGAAGAATACATCAGCGACAAACGGGGAGCAACACAAGAGCTGAAGAGCCTTCTCAGGAGCAAAAGGGGTTCACTGAAGAGGGATGTGACTCCACCAGAGGAATGGAGAAGCACACAAGGGGGTAGGGTGAACCCCGACGGGTACTAAAACATAAATACATTTAACATATGCATTGGCTAAAGACAGGCGCAGGATTCATGGGTGAGTTGATACTGCGGCAAGGGACGAAATAAATTGTCTAAGTAAGAATGTCGAGATTTGTTGAGAAGGGCGTCGAACCTCTAGGACGGGGAAGTATTTATACCCGAACTATTTTGAGGATGACTGCTGCATACATTTCCAAACTTCCATTATATTACATTACATACCTATTATGTCCAACACACGTCAAAGCCGCCGACAGCAACGCCTAACCTCTGAACGTCGAGAGGATGATGATATAGACCAGAAAGGGCCCAAGCGCTACCAACCTCCAACGAATCATCCCCGCCATCGGTCTGAGACAGGGCGGAGGGATACTCAGGATGACGAGATCCATAACCAGGAAGCAAACTTTGATCGACAGATACCTACGGCAACTAGGGGCGAACCTAGCCTTACAACGGAAGACGTAGCACACAACGACGAGGCCAAGGGAGATTCTGACCTGCGCGAGGACAAGGAACAGTCCATTACTGGTGAACAGGTAGCCAGTAACGGAGGACTGCCTCTTCGTTCGTCTTCGGGTATCTCAGGCGCCTCATCCTCTGTTAATGGGCAACCACGCCTCCCACCTAACAAGCGGAGACGTTATCGCCGTCGCCCCAGCAACAAGGGTACAACACGGGAGCAGCTGTCAACGCAAAAGATCACCGAGCTCATGGCTCAACAACAATCGCTGTTATAGAAGTATGAACAAAGATTGCAAAGTACGGCTTCGGAGCGCCCTACGACATTGTTGTCTCCGCACGCCCCATCTACTAGTTCACACAGACAAGGGCAGACAACATGAAGCAGGGAGAAAAACCCTACGTTCCGAATACTAGGTCGTTCACAACCACATCATGGCCTTGGATACGAGTCACCGGAGTCGGAAGGGCAACCCTCTGAGGAGGAAGAAACACTGTCCTGTCATCCAGGGAGGCAGCGCCATCATTCCAGGAGTTGGTACGTGAGCAAGTGTTGGCCAAACGGAACCCACACGGGCAGGAGGCACTCAAGACTAAACAAGACCAGATGTGTTCGACATATCGCCAACACCAACAACGTCAGTTGTTCGAGAAGGAATCCGCTAGTGAGTATGTACAGACCCCTCGACGTACGGAGACCACATTATGCACACCAACGGCGGAGTGGGCAAGAACAATATTAGAAGCCAGCGGAGACAACGATGCCTACACCTCCTCCTACACCGGCGAGTATTGAAAAGAGCCGCCAGGTGTTACACGCACGTATACTACACTTGAGCGACGAATTATGTCAAGCTATAGAGGATGACAACACGGCTCGGGCTGAAGCCCTTAGGGGTTCGATTGAGACACTCCGAGCCACGCTAGAGGCCCGACCAGTGGAGAAACGTCCAGTACCATCACCACGGACATGGCCGGACTGGCCTTCGAACAGATATCACCTCCATGAAATCATGGAACGGGATACGAGAGGGGCTCTACTGGAGGCTTTTAAGAAAGCGCAGATCGCAGGGTTAGACGAAAGTTGGAGCCTCACATGGTTTCACAAGGTGTTATCTTACTTTAAAGCAGAAAAATCCACATTGGACTACATACGCGACAACTCTGAACAATTGAAGATGTGGACCCCACAACTACAAATCGAACAGATCTACTCCCACGAGACGCAAGCCACTGTGGATCCCGCTGTAGAAAAATCATATTGTCAAAGGTGAATGATGTTTAAGTGTTGGACTCAGACCTAGTCCATCGAGGAACCAATTATCTAAGTATGCTTTTTGTATGTTGTGTTTACGAATGTGTTTCGTACGCCGATTGTGTTTGATCTATTATATGTGTAATTTTGTTACAGGTATCATTTGATAGGAAATGTTTTTCCCTTTCATATGACACCTTATTCAAGTTGTTTGAGTGAATATTCATTGAGTTGTGAGTCTTAGACGTTTAAGTGTATTTGAAGAAATTGTGTTTGTATTTTTGGAGATGGAATCTAAAAAAAGACCGCGCACGTCCGTTGGAATTTCTTTGGCAAAGGAAATTTTCGAGTCGAAAGGGCCGTTCAATTTTGACGAAAAATAGTATAAATACGGAGTACAAAAGTAAATAAAGAATACTTTCACAGACTTGAAAAATTTTCACCCGCATTTCGCAAGCTTGCCAAGGGTCACAGTCGTAATATGCACATTTCTATTATGGAACAGATGGCACAGCTGATGGAGAGCCATAGGAGGGCACGTGAACGGTGCCAGACGGATACAGATTTCAGTAGAACCTACTAAACCATTGCATAGTTCAACTGCTAGAGGAGGCTCTCAACGGCCGTACGTACGAATGCACTCTACAGTTGCATCCCAAATGGCAGTTGATGAAGACGCATGAGCTTATCCAGTTGTTAAGTCCCGACATCCAGGACGTGCATCAACGCACTACGGCACGTACACAAAACCGTAACAAACCAATAGCCGCCCCAACCCGCAGACGACGTGACATCAGGCACAAAACTGGGCAGAGCGACCACAACCGACAGCACCTACTACATACGCTGAATGTCAGGCACAAGCTCCACCAGGGGCGCGTCATATTCCACGCTGTCATCATTTCCGGGTAGTTCCACCAGGAGGTGCGGAGGGCAGGACACGTTCGTATGACAACAGCCGGGCATCACGATACACACAACCAGCCTATAGACCACCCGCATCCCGAGCCTCAGGGCAGGGTCAGGTTACTAAACCCGACCAGAGAATTGGCTACCTCTCGCCCGACACCTCAAGTACAGGTGAACGCGATTACGTCCGAGGACAGTTTCGTACCACCGTCGGCAGCGACAGAGGTACATATCAATACGA